GGAACTGCTCTACAGAGCATCTCAGCCCTGACTTAATTTCAACCCTGCTAACTATTACACCTGGACTGCTGCTCAGCTCCTCCCAACTTCCAATTGACTCCATCTCCCTCTAGCTATCTAGGAGGGTGCTAGCCTGTTCCTACTCATCAGGAACCTTTCCCTTCCACTATCACTTTCCCTAATAGACAGGGATGTGACAAAACATGGGGTCACCAAGATGGCCACCAAAGGTCACCTGAACACATAGTAGCGAACCGGAACGCTGCCTCCAGAAACCAAGAAACCATAGAAAAAAATGATTTTCCTTTGACTTATTTTCCAGGATGTGCCGGGTGCCACCTACAGTGAAGAAAGCAGACTGCACCTGCCTACAGGCATACAGCCTTGGTGGCTTGTAGGGATGGTCTATATGTTCGAGTGTTTGCACTGAACACATGGAACATCTGGGGCGTTCAACGGCCATTCGCCCGTATGCCCCACAGTGCAATGCGCTCTGGTGACGCATTGTAATTGGCCAAAGCATTGCACCTGACCACAGGTCAGGTGCAATGCTTTGGCCAATCACAGCTGAGTTCACAATAAGAGCCATGATTGGCCAAAAGTCTCAGTGACCTTGGCCAATCATGGCTCACGGCAATTGAGCGGAGTACTCCAGCGCAGGTGCAGACGGGTAGCGGGTGTTGGGATTTTTTTATTTCGTCAGGACAACACGGGACACTGTGATTGATAATGGATTACAACACTGAAACCATTTTTTTTTTAAAATAAAAGACTTGTCAAAAACAGATTTTTTGGTTTTTGTTCAATAAAGGATATTTTCAAAAGTCTGGTCTATTTATTTTTTACAAGTACCCCTTACTCATACACAAGGGGAGCAGCATCAGGGTGCCCCCTTATTTAAGGGGTACCCTGATACTAATGAGCCCCCCTGCCCACAGACCCCCACAACCACCCACTGGACCAGGGTTGCTTGTGGGGAAGAGAGGCCCTTGTTCTCATTGGCATGGGGACACTGAGAGCATGTGGCCTGGTAAGATCCCAGAGGGGGGGGGGGGGTCCCCCCCCACCCCCTCTCCTGGCTGCCAGGCCTGTGCTCAGATCAAGGGTCTGGTAGGAATTTAGGGGGGATCCCATGCTCCTCCCTCCAATTTTGGGAGGTGCGGTTCCCCTAAAAGTCCTACCTCAAGCCCTAAAGGGTCTGGTATGGCTTTCAGGGGGAACCCCACACAATTTTTTAAAATACATTTTTACTGTGGGGTCCCTCCTAACCTTCCTACCAGGCCTAAGGGGGTCTGGTATAGATTAGGCGGGGGGACTCCATGATGCTTTTTTTTTTGTTTTTTTTAAATGTCAGTCTTGCTGCAGCAGGTTTAATACACAGATGTGCAACTTTGCAGGTTGTTTAGGGAGACCCCCCCCCCAGGCATGATATTTAAAGGAATTTTTTCATTTTTTTTTAACTTTAAGCAATGAAAATGACTACCCCTTTAAAAACAATACTTTTTGAAATGTTTTTTTTTACTCATTCATGTCCCTCAGGGCAGTGCCCAAGTCCCCATACCACGTTTATGGCCAATAACTTGCATATAAGCCTTCCAAATGGGCATTTTTTAAATTTACCAGTTCAAGTCCCATAGACCTGCATTATGTTCGATGTTCGCAGTATAACTTTCTACCGCAAACCGAACACAGGGGTGTGTGCAGACCATCACTAGTGGCTGAGAAATGGGAAGTAATGATCATGCAGCCTCTTCCTTAATGTACCATACGCCTCCCCTTGCAAGGCACCCCGTGCCCACGTTCAGGGGGCAGTGGCCTCATCTCCACATTCTGTGCCCAAATAGGGTGGCTGCCTGCCTCATCCCTTACACCCGAACACATATTAATGACACAGGTTCTGTGGCTGAGTAAGGTGGTAATTAACTGTTTCCTGTCCACCATATAGCAGAAATACTGAATACAGAAAAATCACGTATATATACAGTAGGGTAGCGCCACCATTCATGGGCGTGGCTGTAAATCACCGGATCCTGGCCGGTGATCACTCACCCGGTGACTGCTGAGCATCTCCGATGAGGAGGACAGTTCTCCCTGTCAGCTTGTCACACTGCTTGTGGCTGTGCACAGCACAGCCATCCAAAGTGTGATTACAGAGAAGCACATGGACACAGCTTATAGTAACAGAGCACATTTTAACCTTTTGATCTCCCCAGATGTTAACCCCTTCCTGCCCAGTGCCATTAGTACAGTGTTAGTGCTTTTTTTTAGAAGATCTGAGGGGAAGGCTGCTGGGATTCAGTGTAGTCCTGGGAAAAAAATCTCATGGGTACTTAAAATAGATTTGATTTTTGGATTCTCTCCTCCTTCCTGGTCCAATCCTCACCTACTTCCTGGTCCCGATCCTCGTTTTCCTCCCTCCTGGGTCCCGATCCTCTCCTGGTCTCCGTTCCTCGCCTCCTTCCTGGTCCTGATCCTCTCCTCCGTCCTGTCCTGATCCTCTCCTCCTTCCTGGTCCGGATCATCTCCTCCTTCCTGTTCCCGATCCTTGCCTCTTTCCTGGTCCCAATCCTCTCTTCCCTTCCTGGTCCCGGTCCTCGCCTCCTTCCTTGTCCCGATCCTCGCCTCCTTTCTGGTTCTGATTCTCTCCTCCTTCCTGGTCCCCGATCCTCGCCTCCTTCCTCCCGATCCTCCTCCTCCTTCCTGGTCCCAATCCTCTACTCCTTCCTGGTCCCGATCCTCGCCTACTTCCTGGTTCCGATCCTGTTTTTTGCCTCCTTCCTGGTCCAGATCTTCTCTTCCTTCCTGGTCCCGATCCTTGCCTCCTTCCTGTTCCCGATCCTCTCCTCCTTCCTGGTCCCGATCCTCCTCCTCCTTCCTGGTCCCGATCCTCTCCTCCTTCTTGGTCCCAATCCTCGCCTCCTTCCTGTTCCCGATCCTCACCTCTTTCCTGGTCCCGATCTTCGCCTCCTTCCTGCTCCTGATACTTTCCTCCTCCCTGGTCCCGATCCTCTCCTCCTTCCTGGTCCCGATCCTTTCCTCCTTCTTGGTCCCAATCCTCGCCTCCTTCCTGGTCCCGATCCTCGCCTCCTTCCAGTGACGTCACTTCAAAATGCCTGTGCGTTCCACGCGGGTTCCGGTGCACTTCCTCATATACACAGTGCATCCCGACTCCATTCTCCCATCTTCCAGCCCAGATGACAGCGGCAGACCCTGCTAAAGCAGCGAGCTAAGGACCTACTAATCTGATACGTCTGAAGTTTTGTAGTCCTCTTGTGAGTGTTTTAACCTCTTTAACCCCTCCCCCTCCAGAGGATTCCCCCCTCCTGACCAGGCCATTTTTTTCATTACGGTGCGTTACCTTAACTGACAATTGTTGCGCGGTCATGCAACGCTGCACACAAATTAAATTTACATCCTTTTTTTCCCACGAATTGAGCTTTCTCTTGGTGGTATTTGATCGTCTGTACATTTTTTTATTTTTTGCGCTATAAGCAAAAAAGTGACCAACAATTTTGAGGAAAAAAAAAACAAGATTTTGGACATTTTGCTATTAAACATGTCCTGTAAAAAAAATTTAAAAATCAAATTTCGTCATAAATTATGGCCAAAATGTATTCTGCTCCGTGTCTTTGCTAAAAAAAATCCCAATACGTGTAAATTAATTGGTTTACATGAAAGCTATAGCGTTCACAAATGGTGGTATAGATAATGAGATTTTTTTTTTTTCTACTAGTAATGGCGACAATCAGCAACTTTTAGCGGTAATGCAGCGGACATTCTGACACTGGGGGGAATCAACTTGGTGTCACTGACATCCCCAGTGACACCAATACAGTGATCAGTGCTAATAAAAAGCACTGACACTGTACTAATGGCACTGGGCAGGAAGGAGTTAACATGAGGGGTGATCAAAGGGTTAACTGTGTGCTGGGAGTGTGTATTACTAGGGGGCGGTGGTGTGTGCTTCACTGTAATCACACTGCTCTGGATGGCTGTGCTGTGCAGTGTGCCCCCCGTCGAAGATGCTCAGTAATCACTGGACGGGTAATTACCGGCCAGGACCGGTGATTGACAGTCGCAACACCAAATGGCTCGACCGCTGCCCCCTACCAGGAAAATGAGAAATCTTGTATTTATATTTTCTTTCTTTATTTATTATTGCAGGTACTTGTATAGCGCTGTCAATTTACGCAGCACTTTTACATATATATTGTACATTCACATCAGTCCCTAACCCTCAAGCGTGAACAATCTAAGGTCCCTAACTCACATTCATATACAAGGGCCAATTTAGACAGGAACAATTAACCTACCAGCAGGATCCAATTAATATATAGTATCAGCATGTCTTTGGAGTGTGGGAGGGAAACCGGTATAGTCTGCTATAGAGGAAAACATCCATTAAGCAGATATATATTTACCATCCATATACACATACTGCACTTAGCTGGCACCTCCTGTCCCTCCGTACATAGCTGGTCACTCCCTGTAGACGGCTGCCGCCGGCAACTCTTTGGATTTTTTGTATATTGTGGAATTCTGGGCCTTAAAAGGACTTTGTAAGAGTAATTAGGACTTATAAGGACTCCCTTACATATTGTTTGCATTACCATTGGTCCTAGTTAAGCGCCAGATCATACTGTTCTCTTTGTGGGGGGAAGCCCCCTGCACCAATTCACCCCTCCATGTTGAGGGCATGTGCCCTGGTGTGTGGTTTGGGGGGAGTGTCAATCACCCCGCGCCCCTTTTCCTGACCTGCCAGGCTGCAGGCTCAGATAAGGGTCTGATACGGATTTGGGGGAGTCATCTATTTTTTTAATTATCTGTACTGTCCTGACATTTGGGGGGATATCTGTACTGTTCTGACATTTGGGGGATATCTGTACCGTCCCTGACATTTGGGGATATCTGTACTGTCCTGACATTTGGGGGATATCTGTACTGTTCTGACATTTGGGGGATATCTGTACTGTTCTGACATTTGGGGGATATCTGTACTGTCCTGACATTTGGGGGAATATCTGTACCGTCCTGACATTTGGGGGATATCTGTACTGTCCTGACATTGACATTCTGTACTGTCCTGACATTTGGGGATATCTGTACTGTTCTGACATTTGGGGGGATATCTGTACTGTCCCTGACATTTGGGGGATATCTGTACTGTTCTGACATTTGGGGAGATATCTGTACTGTTCTGACATTTGGGGGATATCTGTACCGTCCTGACATTTGGGGGATATCTGTACTGTCCCTGACATTTGGGGGAATATCTGTGTACCTGTTCTGACATTTGGGGGATATCTGTACGTTCCTGACATTTGGGTGATATCTGTACCGTGTTCTGACATTTGGGTGATATCTTACAGTACTGCGTCCCTCTGACATTTGGGTGATATCTGTTGACACCGTCCTGACATTTGGGTGATATCTGTACTGCTGTCCCCGACATTTGCGGGATGATATCAGTACTGTCCTGTCAGGCAGCGAGGAGCCAGACACACAAGGAGGTGCAATAAAAGGTAGTTTATTAATATAAAAATAAGACAAGAGGTCTATGCAAGTCCAACAGCGGAAATCGTTTTAGCCAAAAGCCGGGGGGTCAAGAGCCAGGAAGAATCGTCACCAAGCAGCCGGGGTCTTAGGAGCCAGGAAGGATCGTCTGCCAGAGCCGGGGTCAGGAGCCAGGAAGAATCGTCGCCAGAGCCGGGGTCAGAGCTCAGGAAGGATCGTCGCCAGAGCCCGAGGTCAGGAGCCAGGAAGGATCATCGCCAGAGCTGGGGTCAGGAGCCAGGAAGGAATCATCGCCAGAGCCGGTGGTCAGGAGCCAGGAAGAAGAATCGTCGCCAGAGCCCGGGGTCAGGAGCCAGGAGAGGTATCGTCGCCCACGAGCCGGGGGATAAGGAGCCTGGAAAAGGATCATCACCAGTAGCCGGGATTCAGGGAAGCCAGGAAGGATTTTCGCCAGACCGGGATCAGGAGCCAGGAAGAAATGGTCACCAGAGCCGGGATCAGGAGCCAGGAGGGGTCTTAGCCAAAGCCGAGTCGGTATCCAGGAAATGCAATGAGTAGCTAAACAGGAGCTTGCTGCTGGGCAAACAGACAGGGACACGAATGCAATGGAACAGCTACAAACAGCAGACTTAAATGTGATAAGCTGCAACTCCTGGAGGAGGAGCCACAGCGTGAGGACTGAAAGCATAAAGGATCGCACGCACAATGCTGTGCAGACACCTAAGATGGATGCCACACATGGAGCAGCTACAACACCCCTCGAGAAAAGGGTAATGCAGGACTTTGACATTGTCCTGCACATTTGGGGGGATGTGAGGATATCTGGTCCTGTCCTGAAATTTGGGGGGATATCTGTACTGTCACTGACATTTGGGGATTGGATATCTGTACTGTCCTGACATTTGGGGGGATATCTGTACTTTGTTCTGACATTTGGGGGATATCTGTAACTGTCCTGACATTTGGGGGATATCTGTACTGTTCCTGACATTTGGGGGATATCTTTACTGTTGACATTCTTGGACCTCAAGAAATTAGATTGGCTGTCAGTAAACTTCAAGATTGATCTTTTTCAGATATCTATCCATAGTTTGTGAACTCTATAACTTTCTTTATCAGATTTAATAATACATACAATAATTTGGGTTATTTTCACCAAAGACATGTCGCAGAATACATCCTCGGCCTTAAATTTATGAAGAACAATTATTGTATTTTGCAAAATTTTTTAATAGAAAACAATGAAAAAACGTGGAGTTTTTTTTTTCATATTAATTTTGGTCTGAAAATCGAGTTGGTAATTTAGCAAAAAATGAAAAACCCAGCGGTGATTTAATACCACCAAAAGAAAGCTCTAGTTGTTGTGAAGAACAATGATAAAATTTATGTTTGGTGTGGCAGAGATCAGGAATTGTATGACCGCGTACTTGTCATTACAATAGTCGTGAGTGCGCTGAAATCTGAAAATTGGCCATTAGGGGGCAGGAAGAAGTGGTAAGTAGCCCGGGTATGGTAATGGTTAATAATAATGGATAATAATAATATTATAATAATTTTTTGATTTCCAGGTTCTTTATATCTGCGATGCTCAGATTCCCTGTTTCACACGGCAGCAGAACAAAGTTTGGCTCTTCCATACATAAATGCTGCTAGGAGTGTTCCCCGTGTCCTGAAGGAAGAGATATCCAAACATTTCCGGTACAGTTTGCTGATTTCGTTTAGTGATTGTTGGAGCTCGGACCAGACTTTACCAATGTAGGTGAATCCGTTCCGTGCCGCCACTCTATAGCAGATTTAACTGCTTACAGCTCGGTACGGGTGCGCACAATCTCGCTTATTATATGTGATTTCACAGTTCCGGGTAAGCAACCGTCCATTCGCAGCCTCGGCTATCAATCACCGGTGTCCCAGCCCAGTGTATTTACTAGCTGGCACCCGGTGATCTACCGGAGTAGTCTCCGACTGGGGGGGAAGAAGAGACCTGTGTATAGACAACACAGATCTTTCGCCTCTTGCTTGCATTTTTGGTATGGCCCTGCATGCAGCATGCTTCGTGAAACACAAAACAGCACAAAGTAATTTTGATCAGCCTCATTTTAACCCCTTCCTCCCCGGTCCCTTTTTACGTGTCTTTGTTTTTTATTAGCATTGTACTGTATTGGGGTGCCCGGGGGGTTTTCAGTACCCAGTCAGCCCCCCCCCCCCCCCCCCCCCCCCAGTGTAGTCCCTGTCACTTCCCCAAAAAAGTGCTGATCCCTCATTCTAGAAGAAAAAAAATTCCGTAATATGCGCCATTTGTAAACATATATTATTTTAAAAACCCAATTTAAATTTACAGCTTGGTTTTTTTTTAGAAAGACACGGAGCAGATACTTTTTTGGCCAAAAATTTTTGACAAAATTTATTTTTTTATTTTTTTTATGGATTTTTTTATAAAAAAGCCCAAAAAATGGTTTTTTTTAAAAATATTTTTTTTGTTTATAGAGAAAAAAATTAAGATGCAAGGGATCAAATACCCCCAAAAAACAAACAAAGACCCCTGTGTAAAACCCCAAAAAGCTAGTACATGATTTACCATCAGGTGAAAAGGGGTTTGTCCCAAATTAACACAGAAAAACCACCCGGGCAACCTCCCCCCCGTGGTCCAAACACACCCACGATGGGCCCCAAAACACACATCCCACCGATGGGCCCCAAAAACACATCCCACCATGGTCCCAAACCTTTCGCTTTTTTAAAAAAGTTGTGCGCCCCCAAAGACCAAAACAGCCCCCCGGGGCCCAGAAAAACCAAGAAAAAAAAAAAACCCCACACCCCCCCAGGGGGGGTGGGAGGAAAGCTCCCAAAAGTTTGTACCCGGGGATGAATAGGATGACCCCCCCCCAACCACACCCAAAGGTCCCGAAGACCCTTGCACTCCATCAACCCCCATCCCAAAATCACTCTACTTCATACCCTCCCTTCATTACCTTTTTCCCCCTTTCTTGTCTTTTCCCCTTTAAGTAGTCACCCTGCGTATTTTTTTTTCTTGTTTTTTTGCTACGGGGATCTTTTCCAGTAAATTTACACCTCCCCACTTTAAACTATCAGCTTAACCTCTACTTTTAAACCTAATACAAGGACAAATGGACAAAACCCACACTTCCCCAAATGGAACACCCTAAACCTCGCATTCTCCACTTAAGCATCCGAAACCCCCCAAAAACCCCCTTTTCCCTTCTTGACCAAAACCTTTAGTTTACCTTTCGTGTCCCCTATCCCTGCCCCAACATAAAATGGTTATGGGGAAATTGGGCCCCACCTCAACCCTTCCCTTCTTAAACCCTGTACTGTCCCTTTATGATAAAGGGCCCCCCCTGTTTCCCCAGCCCTGGGAATTCTGGACACATCCTCTCCTTTACACGCAAACCAGGCTCCCTGTCACAACCCTGGAAAACAGGACCCAGAATTTTCGAGTGCGCCGTGTTTGGTGGTATGGAGTAAAACTAAATCCTGAAGATTACCTTTACAAAAATCCCTTTCAAATAAGCTCTACCCCCATACTGTAAAAAATACTACAGAGTTTCACCAAAACCCCCTCATCGATCCCTGTAACTTTTTCTACCTTTATTCTTATTTACCCCCCATGCCTCCAGCCCCCAATTAGCTTACTGCCCGGGTTTGCCCAAAATTTCAAAAACAAAATCAACACAATTCGTTGAGATAGCCAGCCCCCCTTTCTTCCAACCCAATACCCAAACAAACCCCACTCCTCCTTCAACCCCGTTTCCCTGGGAAATTGCCAAACTCTTTTTCTGTCACCTCACCATTTTTCCCCCGGGTCTGTCCCCTCTCAATTACTAGACCCCCTTCCCGTCATCCTAATCTTAAAACCCCATTTCAACGTTCCTCTCTTCAAGACGTTCCTTCCCCGTAAACATGTACAGGCACCCCATACTTAAAAAATTTATGGACCCTCCTATTTGGATAACCTAAGACATTCCTGCTCCATATGAGCCTCCAAGCATTCTTGAAATGCGTAATCACAGTGGTATGATTGCTACTCAATTGAAAACAATTTTGTCAATCCCTACAGTTTTGCTCTCCAAATTCCACTGAAATGCTTATTAAAACTCACAAGGGACCTGCTAACTGAAATCCTACGGCCATACTCTATCATACTCTTAGACCTTTCTGCTGCCGTTGACACAGTTGACACACTCGTCTCAACAAACTCACTCCTTGGCCTCATGATTGTCTTTCCTGGTTATTCTGGTACGTGGACTGTTAGTGTCCACAATACATTACATTATCTGTCCTCTTCTCTATTTGTTGGTTTCCTAAGGTCATCTTTGGGCTCTCTCTCTTTATCCCTTCTTCATACTTTAACATTCCATTTATGGCCATGTTTATATTCTCACATTTTTTTTTTTTTGCCTCTCTGATGTGCTACATTGAACCTTTATTCGGATGCTAAACTTCATTACTTTTTTTCGTATTCACCGCTTCTTATTATTTCGCGCTACTCTGTTACAGATTTCTAATGTTCTCTTCGTGGACCGTTTTTTTAGGATGGTAGCACACTCTGCTTCTTTATCTACCTAACTCCTTATTAGTACTTTCCCTATTCTGAGCTTAATATTAGTTCGTTCTGCTGTATTCCTCCCCATGTTGACTTAGTATATTTTAGATTTTCATACCTCTACCCTTAGTATGGGTGCTCAACACGTATATTGTCCTCTCGCTCTTTTTGGTCTAATCCTCCTTTTATTCCTGTATGTTCCTTCATCGCCTTCAGTCTTGCTACGGGAATGCTGCTGCCAGATAAAAGTTTGTTACCTAACCTTATATTCAGTTTTGCTACTGTTCCTTGCGCGTACTTGCGGGTTCTACGCCTGTCCTTTCAACTTTTGCCCAACATATCTTGATCTTCAAATAATCTATCGGTGTCTAGAAGGTTCGCTCTTCGTTTTGTCTCAACAAAGTTGCTACTCTGGGCTTTTCTGCTCTTTATTAAAATTCATAGACTTTTCCCTCTTTTGGTTCCAACGCAAGGTGTCCAGCTTTTAAAGTTGATTTGATCCTACCCCTTTTTCCCAGAAGTCATTTTTCCCTCTTTTGCAAAGCCTTAGGTCATGAAGCTTTGTTTCGTGTTCGTTATCGCATAGGATTGAATTGCTGTTTTTTCTTTGTGTCTTTGGGTTCTTATTCTTATTTTCCTGGGCCATTAATATGGCTATCCTCTTTTGTGTTAGGAGAAATGGGGTAATTCCTTGTCATCCTCTTCTTCTCCCATGGTGTTGTCCGTTTTTCTTCTGTGCACCCTTTCCGTTGTCCCCCAGCGATTGCTTCCCCTCCCACGAGGACTCCCTGATTGCCCTGGAGAGTCTCCTCTTTCTCCTGAAGTCACTCATGGCTTGGATTCTCATGAGGGCTTAACTAGTTTTCTGCTCCTTTTTGCTTCCTTCTTTTAGGCATCTCCTTACGGTTCTTAGGAGGTCCTTTCTTTTTGTATACCTTTTACATCATTTGAGGGGCTGCAATGGTGTTCTGTGCTCTCCTGGGGATGGTACTCTTCGAAAGTATGGAGTAATGCGTATGCACTTTATCGAGTAAATGGCACACATTTTTGTAAACCTATACAGACTCTATTATGGTAAGTTGCCTCGCAGTATAACACTATGGAATGATACTTGTCTGGACTTGAGTCATCTGCAAACATGCAGAGCCTATTACGAATGTTCTTGGGTAATGAAATATGAGTTATCTGTATGACTTCATTTTAGGTTACACCTGATTTATTTGTATTGCTTAGCTCTAAACTTTGGCAAATGTAGTTTTATTTCGAGTTTGTTCCATTTCACAGAAGTAGCTAATCTTGCCAAGTCTTGTTAGCTTTTTTCTCAAGGGACATTTTTTTGGAGGGATTTGGCATCGATGATTACCCAAATAGCATATGGGAGTTATTCCACGTAGACTGTATTATGAATCTCACATGCACAAGTATACTCC